TAAACAAAAATAATAAAATTAATGAGCCATCACAAGAATTTCCTCTGAGTGCATTGTTGAGGAGCGCAGGCATTCAACCACAGTGGAGAATGATGCAACACCAAAGTGCCAAGGACAGTTCCAAAGAGTTTGAAACAAGCCAGATTTGGTGCTGAATTCTTTCCCTGAGATATTGGCCGACTACTCTCTGGTTCAGGAACATAGAAACCTCAGCTGCAGGATTGGATTTACAAAATGCATTTTCTTTTATGATGTTAAGTCCTTCCCCTTCCCCTTGAGTTACAAAATGCCATAATAATAATAATAATAATAATAATAATAATAATAATAATAATAATAATAATAACTAGCAGTGCCCTGCCACGCGTTGCTGTGGCCCAGTCTGTTGATCTGGAAAATAAAGTAATGAGAAAATGTTGGTTTTTAATATATGTAATTTCTTTCTTCTTGTGGGTAAACAGTACTTCTTCCTGTTTCTTTGCCAGTGTTGATGTGGAGATTGTCTGGTTTGCCTACTCTGGAACATGCAACGTATTATTGTCCTTCTTTAGGGGTGCCTTTAAAATCTATGATGTTATATCTGTGTGTTTGTGAATCATCTCTCTCTCTCTCTCTCTATCTATCTATCTATGGCTGGATGGCTCTTTGTCAGGAGGACTTTGATTACGTTTTCTTGCCCTGATGAAGGGAGTTGGACTGGATGGCCTTAAGTATTTTCTGTTGGTCATGGGGGTTCTGTGTGGGAAGTTTGCCCCAATTCTGTCGTTGGTGGGGTTCAGAATGCTCTTTGATTGTAGGTGAACTATAAATCCCAGTAACTACAAATCCCAAATGTCTATTTTCCCCAAACTCCATCTGTGTTCGTTTTCATATTCGTGCCAAGTGTGGTCCAGATCCATCATTGCTGGAGTCCACAGTGCTCTCTGGATGTAGGTGTACTACAATTCCGAAACAAAAGGTCAATGCCCACCAAACCCTTCCAGTATTATCTGTTGGTCATGGGAGTTCAGTGTGCCAAGTGTGGTTCAAATCCGTAAATCCCAGAAATGAGGAGTACATTGTTATAAAAGTGAAAAAGCAGCGGGCAGGAGAAGCAGTTGGGAGAGACTCACCTCCCACCAGGCAGGTTTGGAGGCCGCCGAAGGCAAGAGGGGTGTCGGGCCGCGGTAGAAATGGAGGCCCCGGCTTAGGAGAAGACGGCGGGCCTCCCGTCTCGTGTTGTTTTTGTTGCCCTCGGTGGCCCCCCGCAGCTTCCATGCCCTCCCCGGCCGTTAGTGCTTACATCGGCCTGGTGGGCTTTCTCAGGCTGGGCTCGCAATCTCTCCTGGTCTTTTTCCGTCTGTGTATATGAGGCAGCGGCGGGAGCGATGGGGTAGAGGGAGGCACACAGGCGGCAGTGCGCATGTGGAGGGCGACTTGGGCGCAGGGGAAGCTGGGAAATGGAGTCCTTCCTCCTCATCGTATTCCTCCCGAGGCCTCTGCGCATGCTCCATGTTTTTAGGGTAGGGTGCGTTTGTGTTGTTGCGTATTGGTGTTTTGAGGGTTGTTGGTCATAACTTGGGGGGAAGAGGTATTAGCAGGCCAAATTTGGTGACATTTTGTCTGGTGGTTTCTCCGTTTTTGAACGCCTAAGGACGCCCTTAAGCTTTTTATATATATAGATAATAATAATAATGGATGAATGCTACTACAGCCCAAGTTTGCCTATGCCTGTGCTATGAGTACGTCATCCATGAACTGGAGGGTGCTGTCCATGTACTGAAGGACTTGTGAGAGTTGAAGTCCAAAACACCTGAAGGTACCAAGTTGGCCCATCCATGATCTAGAAATTTTAGTAAACCACAAGATTAACATGGTGCAACATGGAATAGAGTGATCAGACCAAGGGAAGCAGTAGCATCACTCTATTCTGCTTTGGCTAAACATCACTACCAATAAATCCTCATTTCCATGCTCTGTGCATTCATGTGGCAAAACCTAAGGCTCCAAACGATCATTTGTTATTCTTTTACCTGTTGTTGGGTTATTGCACCTTTGGTCCACAAGATGATCAGAAAGGTAATACATTCCCAGGTCTATGAAAATGACAAAAGTCCACACTAATGACATATCCAGATCTGGAAACTGGTGTCTACATTTGAAGTGTTAAATTTGAAGGGACTGGGCTCAGCACAGTGGGTTAAACCACAAAGCTGCAGTAAATCCTGCCAATCGAAAGGTTGGCAATTCAAGCCCGGGTTGGGGTGTGTGCCAGCCATTAGTCCCAGATCCTGCTCACCCAGCAGATTGAAAAGTAGTAGATAAATAGGTACCACTTTGAGCGGTGAGGTAATAAAAGGCCCCCATAAAAACATTCCGGTAACTCGATCGGGAGAATGTCTACGGACAACAAAGCTCCTCGGAAGATGGAGCGACAGCACCTCCCTGTGGCCAGAGTTGAGCACAGCCTGCAGATGCTGGAAATGGAAAAAGATGGGAAAGCCTTTATCTCTGTTTAAGTATTGTCTGTCCTTGTTAATTGAATGTTTGCATTATATGTGTACTGTAATCTGCCCTGAGTCCCCTTGGGGAGATAGAGCAGAATATACATTATTATTATTATTATTATTATTATTATTATTATTATTATTACTACTACTACTACTACTAGCTGTGCCCGCCACGCATTGCTGTGGCAAACCTTCCTCCCTCTTTCTTTCACTCCTTTATTTCCTTCTCTCCTTCCTTCCTTCTCTACCTTTCTTTCTTTCCTTCTCTCCTTCCCTCTTCTCCTCCTCCCCCCTTCTCCTTTCTCTTCCTTCTCCTTTCTCTCCCTTCTCCTTCTTTCCTCTTCTTCCTTCTCTTCTCTCCTCCTTCTTTCCTTTCTCTTCTTTCTCTCTTCTTCTCTCTCTTTCTTCTTCCTTCTTCTCTTCCTCCTCCTTCCTCTCTTCCTCCTTCTGTGTATGTGTTTGTGTGTGTATATGCATATATGTGTGTATATATGTGTATTTGTGTATATATATGTGCTTTTGCACATGCGTTGTAATGTAATTTTTGTTTTTTTATCTTTTTAAGTCCCCTTCACTGTGTTTTTCAGTGTTTTTTATGAGTGATGGTCACTCGTTGGTCTGATAGGTGTGTTGTCTCCAAATTTGGTGTCAATTCCTCCAGTGATTTTTGAGTTATGTTAATCCCACAAACGAACATTACATTTTTATTTATATAGATCATTATTATATTAGATCTGCCAGTACGTGTGAATGAAAACGTTGTCACGCAGTTACTGAGACAGTAATTGCCACCTTCTGCAAGTCTAAAATACTCCATTTTTGAATAAAGGAAACAGAGAGAGAGAGAGAGAAATATGAAGCAGATGTAAAAGAATTTGGTAAATCATTTTAATTTAAAAAAAAAGAAGAAGACCCAACGCAAAACTTTACATTACAAAAGAACAAAATATGTTACGATATTGCTAACACAGAAAGAGCTGTGTGGAAGCTAGAACAGCGGGCAAAACGGCACACCATCCTTCCCAGACACGAAACCAAACTTTGTGAGTTAAGATTCAAATTTCAAGTTTCCGTCGCCTGCCCAGCAGAAAAGCCTGGCAAATGTGTTATAAATTCACAAGAAAAGTCTCCTTCTGAAGCTCCGCGTCACAAGGAGCAGCAATTGGTCAGCAACGTCCTTGGTGAAGCCTATTTTCAACCCTTTGAGCCTGATTCAGAATAAATACTGGTTTCCTACAAATCGTAACTTGACCTGAGGATGATGGGCTCCATTCTTCTCCCTCTTCTCCTATCCATTATGATTTTTCCTCCCTTTCATTACTAGCCTTAACAAAGGCTTACCATTGCACTGCACTATTGAGATCAGTGATTAATGCACTACGCTGTATTCCTATCTTTACTACTGTTAGAAAGAGAGTGAGTGAGTATCCGGGCACATTTGTGTTGGTGTAAATATAATAATAAGCCCTTGTTAAGACCAATAAGAGGCTGGAGAAAGAAGAAATGGGGAGATTTGTGGTGGGACAAAGGTCGAAGGGCATGTTCTTGTGCCTTGCTCCCAATTCATAAACCACGATCTGTAGGGAACCGGAATGGCCTTATCCTTCTTTGTCCATATGAAGTACCAAAATGCTTACAGAAGGCTGTATCATAATGTTTTCCCCAAAAGGGAAAAGTTGTTCTGAGCATGAGGAATGGATTAAGCAAAAGGAAAGGGGGAAAAAACAAGGGGGGGGGGGGAATCCAAACAGAAGCCTTTGGACCTAACAAATATGGTCTCTAGTGTTGTAAATAGATTAGAAATATGGTAATTAAATAATCTAGAAAACCCCCACACACTCTTACTCTGCTGTACATTTATAAACAGAAATATTTACAAAACTCTGGTTTTGTTTCCAAAAGAATGAGGTTTGTGGTTTGCTCATCATCGTCGGCTTCTTGCCCATTTCTTTGGTGGGTTTGCAAATTTCTGGATTTTAAAAAAGAAACACAACTGAAAAAGTGACCAAACGATAAAGAAGTGGCAACAGGCCTTTTGGAGACTCTTTTGGAGTCGAAGCCCCAAATGTCAGAAGGGAAGGTTCCATAATTCTGTAAAGCTAAACAATAAATAAATCAACATTGTTAAACTCTAATTTTGATCCCTAAACATGTAAAACAGGTTAAAATCTACCTTGCTGCATAATCAGCCATAAAGGTAATTTTATATGATGGTATGCACCTGGTAAATCCTGCCCTTGGCCCCAATTCAGCATCTCATGTAAATGATTAAATCCCCCTATTTATATAAAAAGAGGGCAGGCCACAGAGTGACTTCTAGAATTGGAACCCAGGGCATTCCTTCTGTGTCCTTCAACTTGCCAATGCAGCTTGACTGGAGGAAATGTTCCGAACATGGCTTTTGGGGATTTCTATTGATTTCCTACAAGTGGACTAATGATTAGAAAGCACAGGAGGGGGAAACCAAAACCAAAACCTCAAATAAATAAATAAATTGAATTACACAGTTCATTAAATAGCGCTTTTGTAATCAACAAGAGATTTATAATTCTTTTTAAGTCACAGCAGCAAGACAGAGTAAGATTCACTTTACAATGGGTCCCTGAACTAGTAGAGTCAACTAGGTTGCCAAGAGTGTACTTTTTAATAATAATAAAAATATGGCGGCCATATGCAACTCCATTGTGCCAACGCACTGCACTTCAGCATGACCATGAACCTCCACCTGTCTGGAGGCTTTATACCAGTGGTTTTCAACCTATGGGTCCCTCCCCAGGTGTTTTGTCCCACAACTCCCAGAAATCACCACCAGTTTACCAGCTTTTAGGATTTCTGGGGGTTGAAGGCCAAAACATCTGGGGACCCACAGGGTGAAAACCACTGCTTTAGATATTAGAGAACCTAAAAAATCTGAAAAAACAAGCTCTCGGAGGACTTTTCAAACATCTTTCAGAACACATAGCTTTTTAGAGAATAGGGACCTCTCTTGATCCTTGCAAAACCCTAGTCGTTCTTCTGGAATATTAAATAAAGAACGTGTGGCCTTTCCCGTGGCTCCAGAATGGGGGAAAGACCTGGCCATTCTATTTTTCACAAAAGGACGTGTTTTCCTTTGGCCAATTCTCAAAGGAGAATAATGGATGCCTGCCTGCTATGGGTTTCATGCCAGCCATCTGTTATTTTCTGATGTTGCTTCCTTGAACCAAACCCAAGATTCAATAGAAGTCATTCATTTGTGGCTGATGTTTGCAATCTATTTGTCAGCTAAAAGAAACAACACTTATGAAAATGGTTTCTTTTCTCCTGACCTACCTGCTGAAAAAGGAAAATTGACCCCCAGTTGCTTGCCTCCTGACACATCCTTCAAGAAAGAGGGCCTGACATACGCTTGACAAATGATAACAATTCTCCAACATTGTCACACAACTTGACTGGATCTACGGAGGACAACCTCCAGAGACCAGCCTCGGTGATGCTTTCAACTGATGGTGCTTTCTCTATCTAAAATGCCCACGACAGCCAACGTTACAATTTGCAATGCACTACTTTCAAGTACGAATTGGGATTCTGCAATGTTAGATGTGCGATCAGGTGATGATTTCTTTTGGCTGCGACCTTGGACAAGTTGCATCAGAAGACACCATGGGTGCTACTTTTGTCATGTTTATGGCCAACCACTCCATGTGTCAAAACACAAAGAAATGTGAAGTATTCACACAGCATTCACATTCAAGCTTTGCTCAAATCTGCCCGTCGGTAAGTAAAGCGGGTAAATGTCCACGCCATTCACATTTCTCAGTATTTTGAGATGTGAATCTTTTTCAGATGGTCCATTTCCACGATGCAGGAGTTTGTGTTTGCACAGGTTCTGCTCAATCCCAAGCTGAAAACATGACAGAAGAGCAATATCATGGAGCGAATGGACAATTCAGACTCTTTAGACCAGTGGTTCTCAACTTGTGGGTCCCTGGGTGTTTTTGCCTATTACTCCCAGAAATCCCAGCCAGTTTACCAGCTGTTAGGATTTCTGGGAGTCAAAGGCCAAAACATAGGGGGACCCACAGGTTGAGAGCCACTGCTTTACACCATAAATTGGTCTCTTGCATAGGAAAACAGAAGGCAAAAGGGAGCTTCAAGAAATACAAATTCAATCTTTTTGATATTCCGAAGAGGAAAACAAAAACAACAGCAATAAAGCAGCAATTCCAAGAGTAACAAAACATCACATTGAGGCCAGGGGTAAGAATGTGTGACAAAAATCACACGTGTGGTAGAGAAAATATAAAGTGAAGGAAAAAAAACTATTATTGCACATGAGGCACGATATGAGAAACAGGATGTGTAGGCTTTGAAATTCTGTTCCAAATTCTGTTAATGCTTTTATAGGGGGAAAAGAGAGACCACAGAGGCATCTCAGCAGTGTAAAAACTCAATTGCAAACAGCATCCTGGCATCAAAGGAAGGGATAAGACATATGGGCTTCCAAAAGACAATAATTATGCTAACAATACAACATGTATCTTTTGTAAACAAGAAAGAAAAAGGAAAAAAAGAATTAAGGTGGCAATGTTTTAAAAGAGTTGCCTTGCTGAGAGTGAATGCTGACATCCGAGCTACAAGCCTGAGGAAAATTCTGTATTGGGGAAAGTTGTGTCCATTCAGTGAACTGTTGGGAATCCTGACAGGTGTTGTCTATATGGATCCTCGGTACAGAAACCGTACTAGAGGCCGAATCCACCAAAAGGAGCATCCCTGAAATGCCCCACAAACAGAGGAACCCAAGAGCAGTGCCTAACCGCTTGCTCCTTCAACTCTCCTGCCTTCTGTTTGTCTAGGGTTACTTTAGCTTATAGTATTAGGGATGCTACCCGGGAAGGGGAAGCGCTTCCTTGCAAGCGATGTTACTTCCTTCATTCCAAAGATGCAAGTTTGGATGCTTTAAAAACAAACCAAAGCTCCTGCAAACAAACCAGGAAGAAAAGGGACGTAAAAAACCCACCATGGCAGGGTTGTTTAAAAGAGCTTAAGTTGTGTAAACCTGGACCAAGAACGTGTAATTTCAAAACAAAAAGATCTTCTAGCATTTGGTATAAAACACCTCCTTCTCCTCCTCCTCTCAAGGAATTGTATACCTGCCTTCTGACTTCTTGGGAAAACAAAAAACAAAAAATCAGAAATTGCATAGGATATACATTGTGCAAGGTGACCAGCCTTTGAAAGGTATCTGGAACAGAAACCCATCTTGCGTATTTTGTCCAACTGTCTGGTGAAACTGTCAGATGTCGTCAAATTTGTGTTTTAAGTAGTCTTTCATGACCTTGGCAATCGGTAGTTCGTCAAGTAGTTTGAGGTTTTGAAGGCCTATACACTGGCGGATTTTGATTCGGCATAGATCTTGCAGGTTCCGGGGCTGCCCTGAAAAGAGAGAAAAGGGTGAACATATCATTGAAAGGCCAGCATCAAAAAAGCAGAGCTGAAATAAACAAGGCTCGCCACCATGAAACAGAAGAGCTAATTGTTTAGACTTCATGGAGGAAATTACAATTTTCTGTTAATCTGTTTTAAGTCAAGCAATTAAACAGATCCTTCATTGTCCCACAATCAGACAGCCATATAAACGTGGATGCCCACGAGTTTAAAGGAGAAATTCTGCACGTAAGCTACCGTATATACTCGAGTATAAGCCGACCCGAATATAAACCGAGGCACCTAATTTTACTACAAAAAACTGGGGAAATGGATTGCCTCGAATATAAGCCGAGGGTGGGAAATGCAGCAGCTACTGGTCAATATAAAAATAAAAATAGATACTGTGACGATGTGTAATTTTTATTCATATGGTTATGTGTTGTTTGAACAGTAGTTAATAAATGGTAAGTATGTAGGATTATATTTTGTTAGAGATCGTGGCAGGCTTGGCTTGGAATGAGTTGCCATAGCAACAGGGGCGGAGCCAACTGCCAACTGCCTCTTCACGGGGCAGCTGTTTGAAAGTGGCAGTCTGTAAGCCGGAGAGCTACAGGAGGGGACTGATTTCTCTAGTGGGAGAAACAGGGAATTAGTCTGTGACCGTTAGTGTTACAGGGAATTAATTTGTGACCAAAGGGGTTACAGGAAAGGACCCGGTAGTGATAAAACTACAGGGGGTTATTGATTCTGGGTTAAGAATCAAGGTTTGGTTGGGAGCCAATTCTGTTGAATAGGCCTTTTGGCTTATTTGTTTTGTTGGGACAGTTGTCCAGGAAAAATACTTCTGCGTGGCCTTGGCCTTTGTAAGCCGCATTGGGAGATGCTAGCAGGGTACAAATAAAACCTCTGAGGATTAGGCCTGGGCGGTTTCGTTTGTTAATTTTGTAATTCGTTAAATATTCGTTAATTTTAGCAATTACAAAACGATTACAAAACTTATTTTTAAACCCGGAAGTGTTTTTAAATATCGAAACGGCATGCGCCAAATATTTTTGTATTTCCGTCCATTTCGGAAATACGTAAGATGGCTATGCTTGCTGGGAGCTCTCCTCTCTCTCCTCTCCTTAGCCAGTCAGAGCCTGAAAGAGGAGGAGGAGGAGGAGGAGGAGAGGGCGGGGAAGGCGCCGGCTGAGCAAGCGAGCGAGAGGGCGAGCGACCCTCAGCGGGAAGGCGGCCCGTCCCTCCTTCCTCACCTTTGCGGTGGGTGTGCTTCGTTCTCCCAATTCCGCACTGAAACCTTAGCGGAGGGCTGGGCTAGATGGCCTTTGGGGAGCCCTTCTCCCAATTTTGCATTGAGACCATAGCAGAGGGCGGGACTAGATGGCCTTTGGGGAGCCCCTTCTCCCAATTCCGCACTGAAACCTTAGCTTCGGAGGAGCCGGGCCCGACTCGGCGGCAGCGCTTGAGGGCCCGCCAGAGTGAGTGCCTGCCTTCCCTCCTTAATAATAATTTCTCCTCCCTATTCTACTAAATTAATAATTAAATTAAAAAAATATTGAAAAAATATTGAAAAAAAAAGGGCGCCATCTTTACAAAATGTTTTGTAAATATTAACGAAATTTCGTAAATACCGAACTTTTTTAAGGGAAAATTTTGTAATTATTTTAAATATCGAAACAAAAAAAACCCCCAAATACAAATCGATTTTAGAAACAAATTTTTGCGTTGTTACCCAGGCCTAGTAACCAGTCAAGATTTGTGCCTCTTGTGAAGAAACAATCAAATCTGTTATACCTTGCTTGTTCCAATAAAATTGTTACTGTTCTCCTCAAGCCTTGCCTGATACAGTTTCTCTTAAGTCAAACAGCCTGCATAAGAAGTAAAACCAAACCAGGGACAGAAAACGCTACGCTATCAATACTTCTGTAAATAATAGTCCCTTTATAAACCAGCTCATAAGCTGATGTTGATCATTGCCCGGCTTCCCTCACAGATTTGGTGGCAGTAATTTTACCCTCCTTCACAGATACCAATACAATTATATTAATTTAGGCATCAGCAGGTTACATGTTTTTTGAATATTTACATAAAACTGTAATTCAAGATAAGACTGTCCAACTTTGATTAAACCATTATTCTAACCTTCTTCAATGTAAATATGCTTACATGTCCTCCAATAATAACAGAGTAAAATAATTGAATGTAATAATAACAATACAGTAAAAGAATAAATGTAACAATAACAATAATAAATAGCGTAAAATAATAAATGTAATAATAACAACAATAACAAAGTAAAATAATAAATAACATTGACTCGAGTATAAGTCGGGGAAGACTTTTTCAGCCTAAAAAAAGGACTGAAAAACTAGGCTTATACTCGAGTATATACAGTATGTAAAACAACACTAAACTAAGCTTGTCCATTTCACATTTGACAAAACATACATACACAACCCCTTAACAATTTAAACTAACCACCAAATAAGATGAGTCAAAGTACAGTATCAAACTTATAAACCTTCCTTTTCAAGCAGCAGTGGCTGGTATCACTTTCCAGAGGATTCCTGGGACTTTGTATAGTTTTTGCATTGACCTCTAAACACTGACAATCCCAAAAAGAGTTTATGAATGTTCAAATACAGATCTGCATTGCCTAACCCTGTAAATATAACACCAGTGAATAAGGGCAATGTTCAATCAAGTGTAATGGTTGCTTCTGAGGCGAGAGACTCAGCTGTCTACAAAGACGTTGCCCAGAGGACGCCCGCATGTCTTGTAATTCTGAGGATTACCTGGGAAATAATCCCACTGGAGCATTGCAGCACACCCAAATACTTGGGAATCACTCTGGACCGTGCTCTGACCTACAAGAAGCACTGCCTGAACATCAAGCAAAAAGTGGGTGCTAGAAACAATATCATACGAAAGCTGACTGGCACAACCTGGGGATCACAACCAGACACAGTGAAGAGATCTGCCCTTGCGCTATGCTACTCTGCTGCTGAGTATGCATGCCCAGTGTGGAACATATCTCACCACACTAAAACAGTGGATGTGGCTCTTAATGAGACATGCCACATTATCACAGGGTGTCTGCGCCCTACACCACTGGAGAAATTACACTGCTTAGCCGGTATTGCACCACCTGACATCCGCCGGGAAGTAGCAGCCAATAGTGAAAGAACCAAGGCAGTGACATCTCCAGCTCATCCCTTGTTTGGGTATCAGCCAGCACGTCAACGACTTAAATCAAGAAATAGTTTTCTTAGATCTACAGAGACACTCGCTGGAACACCTCAGCAAGCGAGAGTCCAAAAGTGGCAGGCTCAAACCCAGAACATCAACCAATGGCTGATACCAAATGAGAGACTCCCCCCTGGGCACACAGAGGACTGGGCGACTTGGAAGGCGCTGAACAGACTGTGCTCTGGCACCACAAGATGCAGAGCCAACCTTCAGAAATGGGGCTACAAAGTGGACATGCGAGTGTGGAGAAGAGCAAACTACAGACCACCTGCTGCAATGCAACCTGAGCCCTGCCACATGCACAATGGGGGACCTTCTTGCAGCAACACCAGAGGCACTCCAAGTGGCCAGCTACTGGTCAAAGGACATTTAATCAACTACCAACAGGCAGGGGGTTTTTTTTACCTGTTTATTTGTTTTGTTCTGTTAGAAATGTAACACAATGGTCTGGTTGCTGATGACACGATAAATAAAATCAAGTGCAATTTGCATTTTCAGACTGATCACAATAGTCACAACTGAATACCACAAGTTGGAAATTTACGCTAAACTATAGGAAAAAAACACCCGACCTTGCTTACAAATTACAGAACAGCATTCCAAATTCAATTCACACTTAGGGCAGAATTCCTGAGGGGCTGATTATTAAGTGTCTTGACATTTTCGCCTGATAAGCCAAAGCGCATTTCCTGGGAATGTGCTAATAATGGGCATTTCCAGTGTTAAGCACCACTTGCCACATTGATGGGCTCTTGGTGTCTACAGCACTTACTCATTCTTGATTGCCTCTGAATGAAAAAGGGAGGGGGAAAGGATTACAGACCCACACCAGCAGACCTTCATTTGGCAAATGGGAAACACTATTCGTAATTTGGCAAAAAGCAAGGCAAGGAAAGATGGTGAGGAATTGCGTTTTGCTTAATGATTAAGAAGCAGAGAGAGAGAGAGGCTTTGCCAAGTTTGGAAAGATCTTTGGATCTCTGAGAACTGACAAGAAAATAGAAAGGTTTACAAAAAATAAAAATAAAATGACATCAAAACCAATTCCATCAACTCTTCTCTGCCTGTCTGAAATGCTGGGGCTTCTCTGAATCATCACATTTAAGGAAGACTATTATTAGTAAGTTCCATTTCAATATAAAAGAGCACTGCCATGTGCTATCTGTTGGTTTCATGCAGCCAGCAGTCTAAAAGTCTTATTTAATATCTAAGCAATAATTATATAGACAGCCATTATATCCCAAATTACATATAAATATAACATACTAGCTGTCCCCTGCCACACGTTGCTGTGGCCCAGTCTGGTGATCTGGAAAATAAAGTAATGAGAAAGTGTTGGTTTCTAATATATGTAATGTCTTGATGCTTGTGGGTAAACAGTATTTCTTGTTGTTTCTTTGCCAGTGTTGATGTGGAGATTGTCTGGTTTGCCTACTCTGGAACATGCAACATAGAATTGTCCTTCTTTAGGGGTCCCTTTCAAATCTTTGATACTGCATCTGTCATATACATATGTGTGTGTGTGTGAATGGCTGGATGGCCCTTTGTTAGGGGGATTTTGATTATGTTTTCTTGCCCTGGTGAAGAGAGTTGGACTGGATGGCCTTAAGGCAGCATTTCTCAACCTGGGAAGTCAAGACCCCCGGGGGGGGGGTCACCAGGGGGGTGTCAGAAAGGTCACCAAAGACCACCAGAAAACACAGTATTTTCTGTTGGTCATGGGGGTTCTGTGTGGGAGTTTGCCCCAATTCTGTCGT